GATGCAGCTTCGGATAGTTATGTCATGTGTATCTTATTGATTGCTCCCAAAAGTAGGCGGAGAACAAACAAGACAAAAGAACAAAAAAAGAAAGCAACGGGAAGGGCGAGGAAAGGAGAGCGCCATGTTGGTTTCCATCTGCTAGGAATAAATCAAAGGGGTCTAAAAAGTCAGACCAGATCTTTTCAAATTTGTCCGAGGTCCCTCTTCTCTGAAACGTTCCCGCTCTTTAGCTGCCACGTGGGCCAAGTCGCCGTGCCAGACTTCTGCTCTTCCGTCTCGCCCCACGGGGTGCTTGGCTCCGAGCACTGCTCTAGAGAACCAAGCTTCCCGGGAGCTGAAGCGTTTCTCAGCTGATGGGATTTAGCCCAAAGCTCAGTTCTGGGAAGGACATTTAACCTCCTACCTACTTCTAGCCAAAGGGTTGTATGTTGGGACACAAGGATGGCGCTCCGTAGACCACGTGTTGAGTTTGTAATGGTTTGCAAGGCACTACCCCAGAGGTGGGCAAACTACAGCCCACGGGACCGTCCTGCAAGGCCCTTGAGTTCCTGGCCGGGGAGGCTAGCCCCCGGCCCCTCCCCTGCTGCCTCAGCTCGCCGTGCCACCAGCACTCTGGGCAGCAGGGCTGCGAGCTCCTGCCGGGCAGCACGGCAGCGAGAGCCTCCAGGCTGCCCCAGTGCTCTAGACTGCACGGCAGCGTGGCTGGCTCCAGCCGGGTGGCGCGGCTGCCAGTCCTGCTGCTCTGAGCGGCATGGTAAGGGGGTGGGGAGTAGGGGGGTTGGATAAGGGGCAGGGGGTCCTGGGGGGCCAGTCAGGGGACAGGGAGGAGCAGGAGGCGGTTTGATAGGTGTGGGGGTCCTAGGGGGACGGTTAGGGGCGGGGGGTCCCGGGAGGGGGCAGTTGGGACAAGGAGAGGGGGGGTTGGATGGGTGGGGGAGTTCTGAGGGGGGTGGGAAGTGGGAGGGGGCGGAGAGGGGGCAGGGGCCAGGCTGTTTGGGGGGCACAGCCTTCCCTACCTGGCCCGTCATACAGTTTCGGAACCCCGATGTGGCCCTCAGGCCAAAAAGTTTGCCCACCCCTGCACTACCCCCTTGGCTAGGGTTCCAGGCCTGGCACAGGCAATCTAAATTAGGGACGGCCTTTTGGGCCAGGGTACATACCAGGCTACAGCTGGTCAGGTGAACCTCTGTCTACGTCAGTTCTGGAGTCTCTGGTGCACCCAGCACCTAGGACCAACTATGTCCTGAAAACGCAGGGTAACGGGAACGCCCTGGAGCTAGAGCAGGGAGGGGGTATTGTTGGTGCAGTACTTGGGAATGGCAGAACTGGCTCAGCCGGGAGACCCAAAGTATCTCCTGAGCCTGCCATATTAATAGATGGTCTCTTGTTGATGTTCCCCAACGGGCTGTTGAGTCCGTGCTGGGGCTTCAAATGATGCTCGTTCACGGCATTGGGGTCCCTCTCCCTGGTGCAGGAAGTACCTGGACGTTCACTCCATGGACCTCATCGACAAGGCGCAGACCACTGATGAGCTGAAGAGGTAACTGGTTTTAGGACTCAGGGAAGGCTCTGGATTAGTGCCCCCCAGTCCTGGGGAGACACCCCCTCCCCCTGCACCTAGGCTTGGGGTCCCCCTATTATCCTTCCATGGTAGGGAGAGCACCCCTACCAGCCCCCCTGTACTCTCATGTCCTGGAGGGGGCCCCTGGGGAGACATCCCACCCCTGCAGTCAGTGGCCCCCTCTCCGCAGGGTGCTGGCGGAGCTGTTCCAGCTGCAGGGCTGGGATTCGGACCCACGGGCCGCCATCTTGCTGGATCTCTACTTCTACACGGTGCAGTTCAGCCGGGAACACAGCTTCACCCGGGAGCAAAGCTCCGTCTTCTTCGCCATCGTCAAAGACACCCACGAGGCCTGTGTGGGTAAGAGAGGAGGCCGAAGGGAGGCACTGGCCTCAGTGGGAGGAGGGAGTCAGGGAACCGCGGGGGGGCTGAAGAAAGGGGATGAGTCTCGGGAGGACCCTCTATGAGTAGGGATGGGCACAGGGAGGGGGAGGAGCCTACAAGGTGGGTGGGGCTCTCAAGAGGAGCCTGGAGGTTGGACATGGCTGTGGAGAGAGGTGGTGGGGGTGGGCATGGAGAAGGAAGGGGAGGAGCCTGCAAGACGGTGTGGTTGTTGGGGAGGAGCTTGCAGGGTGGGTGTGGCCATGGGGGGGGTGCAGGTCCCTCACACTCATGTCTGCTCCCACAGAGACACCACTGCCCAATGTGGAGGAATGTTACCGCTACTTCACCGAGCTGCTCTTCTGCCACGCCGTGCGGGTGAGCCCTGCCCACGGGCCAGGGAGGGCCCCCGGCTGCTGCCAGCTCCCCCACGGCAGGGCCCGGTTAGAGGGATGAGTCTGGGGTGGGGAGCCCCTGCCCATCTCCTGCCTCACACTCTCCTCTCCCCCCCACCCCCAGCGGCCTCCATTCAGCATCGACCTCTTCAGCCAGGAGCAGCTGGCACTCATGAGCGACTACGTGGTGAACACCTACTTCCGCCACTTCAAGCTGTACAAATACGCCTTCACACCCCAGGTATGGCGCCCCCTGGGGAATCCCATGGGGAATGGCACCTCCAGTGTCAGCCACGCCCAGCACCCCCTGGGGACCTGGCCTGCCCCACCACCCGCATGGCTTAGCTGCACACAGGCCCCCTTCCCGAGTCCTCCACCCACACGGGGCAGCTAGCAGAGGGCAGGCGTGCCCAGCCTTACACCTACCTCAGCCCTGCAGCTTCCAGGACTGGCCTGTTTTCTCACCTCGCAGGTCCGGCTGGACATATCGCTGTCCTACGTGGGAATGTCAGAGCCGGAGCCCGCGGACGAGCTGGGTGAGCGGCTGGTGCTCGCTGAACCCCCAAAACTCTCGGCCACGTGGGTGCGCTTGAGAGGTGGCGGGGGGGGGAGGAAGATGATTGGGGCTTCTCCTTTCTGCTGCTGACCAAGAGCAACCCCTGGAGCCAAGGTGAAAATGCTCTAACAGGACAGCAATTCCCAGCCAGACACTGGCTTTTTGATGCCAACAGAGTGGGGCACCTGAGGGGGCTGGGCGGACAAGCTCCCAGGCACCACAGAAGGGAGGAGGAGGCTGTAGGGGGCACAGGAAGGTGGAGCATCCAGCCGATGAAGCCAAGCCCCACCCTGATTAGCCAATGTCTTCACCTCCCAGCAGGAGAACAGTGTGAGAGCGTGACGGTGCCTGTGCCCCCAGCACAAGAGGAGGAAGCCGACAGTGGAACCACAGCCCCCAGGGAGAGTAAGAGACCACCGCTGCCTCGAGGAGTGAGGCCTGGAACAAGATCCAGGGCCTTTCCCCTTGCGGGGCAAGCAGGGCCTCCAGGCAGGCCCCAGGGTGGGGATGGGGAATGGGACCCAGGCCTTTTCCTTCTAGGGGGCACCAGCCCTGCTCCGGCCCCAGGGTGGGGGAGCTGGTTGGCTGCACTCTTCACCCCACTCTCCTCTGCAGGCCCCAGGGACCCGCTGAGGGAATACATCTCGGCTCAGCTCTGCCAAGAGCTGGCCCAGCTGCGGCTGGCGGTGGAGGAGCGGCTACGGGCGAGCGAGGAGCAGTTCAACGCTAAGCTGGCCCTGCTGGAGAAGGTGCCCAACTCCCCCAAAGGGGGCGGCCGGGGCCACCGGAAGTGAGGGGAGAGGAGAGGGCAATAAAGGACTCCGATTCTACGGTGGTGCCATGTCTCACTGCCCTGGGAAACTGCCCCCTGCTGGGGGGGAACCCCAGTCTCAAGGTTCCCCTGTCATGGAGTCCCCAGGCGATGCTCTGGAACTGCTCCCCACAAAGCCAGTCAGGACTTTGGGGAGCCTCCTCTCCCTCGGAGCAGACCGTCTTCAGTGCAAGAAGCTCACACGGCTTCATCTCCTGGGTCTCTCCTGGGAGCATTCAGCATATGCCCCTCCATGCGCTTCCCACAGCGAGTCCGCCCCGGCGGGGTCCTGGGGAAGCCAAAGGGTTCCGCACCCCCCACTTCGCAGTCAGACGTGACTCTCAGCCAGCCAGTAAAACAGAGGTTTATTAGACGACAGGAACACGGTCTAAAACAGAGCTTGTAGGTCCAGCGAACGGGACCCCTCCGCCGGGTCCATTCTGGGGCCCAGCAAGGCAGACCCCCATCTGCCCTCCCTTCCAGTCCCCAGCTAACTTCAAACTCCCGTCCAGCCCCTCCTTCTCTGGGCTTTGTCTCTTTCCCAGGCCAGGAGGTCACTTGATCCCTTTGTCTCCAACACCTTTGCAGAGGAGGGGCCCAGGCCATCAGTTGCTAGGAGACAGAGGGTCGGGCATTTATGTACACTGGCCCTTTGCTCTGCAGCAACCATACACCCTTATCCCACCACCTAGATACTTAAGAACTGCATAGGGGAAACTGAGGAAAACATTAAGAACAGTCCCACTTCGTCACACCCCCCTCCTGCCCCTGCCCCAGGGGAGACAGCTCCCAGGCCCTGCGCTCCCAGACTTGGGGCCCGTGCTGGGAGTGCAGACGAAGGAAGGAGCCCCAGGCGCCGTAGGGGTCCCAATAGATTTTTATTCTAATTCACAGGAATTCAGACTACAGGAAAAACATAAAAATTAACCAAGCTACATCAACGGGGCCTGGCTGAGCCCAGTGGGCGGGGGGAGCATTTGGCCCCATCTCCCCAACTCTGCCATCTGGGCGGAGGGGAGGATTTGGCCCCATCTCCCCCAGGATGCAATACTGAGCCAGTAAAAAGAAGCCAAGGGCAGGGGGTGCGAGCTGCCCCTGCATCCTAGACATATGCACACAGCATGCCAGCCACCCCCCTCCCCCTCTGCCAGACACACACGGGGTCCCTAAACCTCACCCAGGTGGGACTGCCCCTTCCTGTCCCAGAAATCCCGGACAAACCTGCACTAGGGCCCCCCCTGCACTCCCTGGGGGGGGGGGGGGGGGTTCCCCCCCCTTGCCGTCCGTTGCAACCACCCCCCCCCCCCCCCCACTCGCGGTTCCCAGGCTATGGGGGGCCACCCGGGGATCTCCCGCAGCCCAGCCTGGTCCCTGCCTCCTAGTGGAGAGGAGCAGTGGTGCTGCAGTAATGCTCCGCCCCCTCGCCCTGGCCCAGCTCCGCCCCCTCGCCCTCAGCGCCCAGCAGGGCCAGCAGCAGGGCCTTGGGCAGGTTCTCGAAGAGGGCGGCGCGGTTCTGCTGCTCGCCCTTCTTCACCCAGTGGCCGTAGATGCGGAAGGCGCAGGCGTCGATGAGCTTGCGCACGCCCTTCAGCGCGTAGGGGTCGCGCAGCAGCAGCTCCCGCGTCACCGGCCGCGTGCGCACCCGGTAGCTGTTGAACATGCGGATGGAGGCCAGCACCGTCCACACCAGCACCTACCACGCAGGACAGACCATCAGCAGGGGGGTGGGGGTGCCTGGGAGAGACCATTATCCCAGTGGGTGGGGAACACAGGTGAGCCCAGTATCCCTGTCCCAGATGTGGGGGGCCATGGGGCAGCAGGAGAGACCATTAGCACAGGGCAGAGGGGGAGGCCACAGGGGAGACCGTTTTCCCATTGCAGGGGGGAGGGAGGGGATGGCAGAGACCATTATCCTGCTGTGAGGAGGAGAGGCCATTATCCCCACCATTGGGGGGGAGGAGCATGCAGGAGAGGCCATTACCCCAGTGCAAGGGGGGGGGGGGAGAAGAGGACTATTCCAGCAAAGGGGAGAAGGGAAAAAGGAAGAGGGATTGGGGGAGTCACAAGAGCCCCTTAAAGCAGCATATGGAGGAGGGGGGCATGTACCCTGAAGAGCCCAGCAAAGCCCATCAGCTCAGTGCAGTGGGGGGAGAGGGAGAACCCGGGAGAGACCATTAGCTCAGTGCAGTGGGGGGAGAGGGAGAACCCGGGAGAGCTCAATGCAGACGGGAGGGGGAGAGGGAGAACCCAGGAGAGCCCATTAGCTCAGTGCAG